TATTCAGCCCTTCGAAAAATTGCTTTAGAAATAATAATGCTTCTTGGTGTCAAACAGCTCAGGAATCTGGCAAAAGTCAGAGGTGAGGAGACATTTCCCTTACCAGGCCACTTGCCTTGATGACAGAGGAAAGGTCTATTTCAGACCCTATTCAAAGTGTTTATTTAATTACTGCATTTCTTTTAAGATTGGACAAACTCAATTTTAAGACATGTTGACTAATGTTTTTGGAAAGAAAAGGGCTTTGCCTTGCTAAATTATACTTGTTGTGTTGGCACTTACTCAACAAAGAATAACAATGGTAAAGAGCTGGAATTGCATTAGAAAACAACATCTAATGTTGTCTTTATGGAATTGCTTTGACCTCTCACTCACCATTATTTTAGGCACCCAATCTCCTTTGTGCTTATATAAGGAGGGTAAGAAACAACCTAAGTCTTGCCTTTGGGATTTTTAATCAAAGCTGCAACTTTCCTGATTGCAACAGTGGATTCCCAAGCTCCAAAGAAATTGTGTAAATTAAAATCCCATGTTTCTGTGGGCTATAAGTGGGGTCGTTTGAAATGTTCTTAATACGAAGAGTCTGCTTCCACTGTCAGAAAGGGTAAGGAAGTTTCAGGAGCTCTGGGCTCTCATTGTCACACACAATGATCTGTGACTGACAGACCGCCACTGCCTGTGCGTGCAGACTTGTGAACAGACTGAGGTCTCCGTCCCTTCTGGGGTAGGGCCCCACCCAAAGCACCTTGAAGCCCTTAAGAAATTTGCAACAGGCTTTCTTAGATCCATCTGCTGCTGGACTGAGGAACAGAGAAACCAGCAGCAGAGGGGGGCAAAGGGCTGGCCATTTTGAGATTTACCTACCCGGTGCACAACACAGCTCCTAGCCCCCCAAACCACTGTGTAGCAATTTCAGGGGTGAAAATGTAAAGACCCAGAGAGAAAACATCAGGTTGGAACCATAGCTTTTCTAAGAACCCAGCCAAGACTTTCCCAGCTATAAGGCCAAGTTTGGAAGGCTCTTCCCTCTCTCTGTTCAACCTTCTGTCCAGCTACTACATTCTGCCCTCTGCATTTGTGAGGTCAGATTTCCAGACAAATCTGTCACTGTTATTCCTATGGGGGACGGGATAGCCCCTGCACCGGGTGTCCAACATCAAGAGAAGCCCACTAGAAGGTGCAAAGAGAAAAGAGATGGTGGGCAGCCTCAGAAGGGAGAAACCCAGCCGGGGGGGCATCTTGTCCTAGTGGGCTCCCAGCACTCCAGGGGTGGGTATGGAGCTATCGGCGGCTGCCGACGCTGAGGCAG